AATAGAACAAGAAAATTTGAACACAGGGAACTTCCCAGAGACTCATACTCCAACCAAGGACTATTCATGGACATAACCTAGAACTCCTGCACAGATGTAGCCCATGGCAGTTCAGTGTCCAAGTGGGTTACATAGTAATGGGAAGAGAGACTGCCTCTGACATAATCTGATTGGCCTGCTCTTTGATCACCTCCCCCTGAGGGGGGAGCAGCCTTACCAGGCCACAGAAGATGACAGTGCAGCCACTTCTGATGAGAACTGATAGTCTAAGATCAGAAAGAAGGAGAGGAGAACCTCCCATATCAGTGGACTAGGGGAGGGGCATGCACGCAGAAACGGGAGGAAGGGTGGGATTGGGAGGGGAGGAGGGAGAGGCTTATGGAGGGGTACAAAATGAAGAAAGTGTAATTAATAATAATAATAAAATATTAAAAAAAAGAGGACGGACTCAGATGTAGTCTATAGGCAGCTCAGTGTCTGTGTGGGTTCTCTAGTAAGGTGAACAGGGGCTCTCTCTGATGTGGACTCTGTTGCCTGCTCTTTGATTACTTGCCCCTGGTTATGTGACCTTGCCAGGCTACAGAGGAAGAGGATACAGGCAGTCCTGATGAGACTTGATAGGCTAAGGTCAGATGGCAGAGGAGGAGGCCTCCCCCTTCTGGGATCTAAGGAAGAGGGATAGGAGAAGAGGGAGGGAGGGTGGGGGTTACAATTGGGATATAAAGTGAATAAACTATTAAAAAATAAAAAATAAAAAAATAAACATTTTTTAAAAAGTTAAAAAAAAAAGACTGAGCTGTAGGGTTTAACCTAGTTGACCTGTAGATATGGCTTACTATAGAGGTTTTATTGTTCCTCAGATGTCATTTGAAACTGTGGTTGTATTTTTTTATCTTGACTGTTAAATTGAAAAGTATTACTATCATGTTTTTAATTTTGTAAATTATCATTTACGTATTAATTATGAGGGTACAAAAAGAATGTGCACAGTACATGGTGCACATAAGAAAGTCAGGACAAGTTATGAAAGTATGTTCTCCCCTCCTACCATGTGGTTTCTGGGATTCAACTTAGGTCATTGGGCTTGGTGGCAAGTGCCTTTACTCATTGAGCCATCTGCTGGCTCATTTTATTAGGCAGCTGTTACAGTGCTAAAATCTGGTCATGTGCAAGAAAATAAAGTCATGTTCAAATGGAAGCTGCCTCTGAGAAAAGCAGATTGTTTTTCTTAAGTTGTGATGGTATTAAAGTTGACCCCTCCCTTGAAAAATTAGTATATATTGAAAATTATTTATATTATTTATATTGAAATCCAATATAAATTATAATAGCCAACTTGCTGTAGACTGGCCATTGGCTTGACACATAGCTGACATTCTATAGTAGTCTCTATTATATGACTATGAGCCAGGCACATAGACTCTATGAACTTGAAGATCCTATAGCAGAAAGAACTTATGCTAAATTATTTCTCAGTTCTCTAACATCTTTACTTTTCTGTATCTCATGTTGCTGCCCACATCTACCTAAGACAAATGACAATTAATATAAATTTAATAAATTAAAATACTGTCAGTACTGTATTAGTTAAAAGTCTCATGACCCTATCCCAGTTCTAGTAAATGGCTGCCTAATACTGAGCATGTCAGTCACCCTGTGGCCTAATTTCCATAAGTGTTAAATGAAGAAAATGGGTTAGAAATGTCTAGTTCTGCTTTATTAGCTAAAAAAAATTTAAACAATACTGTGATTTATATAAAGCATAGAAGATACTGAGAAAACATGTTGTTCCTTTCCCATGTATATCCATAGACAGATGAATGCAGTCATTTTGGGAGTTTGTTGTAGAGAAAGAATAAAACAACAAGATGGATGCTAAGCAGAGTGTTTCTCAATTCACGTTGGCCCTTGACTAACTGAATAATGAGACTACGAATCACGTTATGTGTTGGGGCTATACAGTGTCAAGAGTCTTATTCTTGGGAAGTCATTTGTTGCAGATGAACAGACTTTGTCCATATTAGATGTAATCTTATTAAGTTTATTAGCTACTGTTTCTTTCAAAAACATTTACAGTGTCTTGCACAAAGATATATGATGGGGTAAATAGCATAAAGCATGAACACGGACTGTAGACAGAAGTTGGGAACAATATGCTAGTTATAAAAGAAGGCCTACTGCAGCCTGCTGCTTTAAGAACTGGTAGAAAGTGAAAGGAATGTAGGGGCAAATGCATAAACCTACAAGTGCAGGGTCTTTAAAAGAGCAATTGTCCCTCTTTTGCATATCCTTACTTTCAAACTTAGGCAAATTATACAAGGCAGCTATGTTGCCCCGGGGCAGAGGCTTAGAACACTGTAGGAAAGATTCAGTCAAGCTTTCCAAGGAATGTAGTCCAAGACCTTCACATGATCTCCCCAAGGTTGTACTTGAAATTTTAGAAAGCAAAACTATGCAAAACAAACAAATCACAGTTCCCTCTTCTATCCTGTCTTTGTGCCATTCCTTCTGTTTCCAATATGCTTTGTTCTCTTCTTGTGACTGACAGCACACACTAGGCAGCGTGTGTACCCTAAGATTTGAGGCCATTTTTGGTATGGTAATGGTCCAGAAAAAGTCCAACTGCACCCACCATCCTCTATCTATTTCCCCCACCACAAAATCTTCCCTCCCATCACCTTTAAGCTGACAGCTGAAATTGTACTTTGAGTTCTCAACTAAAACATATCAGATATGTTAATGAATCTGTAAGACCCTCATTGTTCTTTCTGAAATATTTTAAATGTTCTACATAAGACAGTGAATGGAGCTATCAGTCTTGCATAGAAACCCTTCAAAATGATAGTGAGTACACTTCAATTGTCCTTGTCCAATTTCTTACATAAGCAAGCATATGCTTCTGGCCTTGCCAATGTTTTATGATCATGTACTAAATTACCGTGTTAACTCAGAATTATTTGGTAATTCCACAGAATTTCTTTGCCAGCCATCACTAAAAATTTTCACCTTTAGAATCACATTAATTACTAACCTTTTAATTTAAAAAAATGAGGTGGAAGTTGATATATTTGAAAGTCAATAGATAATGTTACCTAAGAGGGGGATCTATTGAATTACAGACATCCCTGGAGTGTGCGGTATACCCATACCATTCTTAATAGCGAATGGTGAAACCAAAGTACCAGTTCTATTTTAAGCTGTTAAAATTTGACATGAAAGTGCCCTTTATTCCGTATAAATATGGCATTCATCAAAAGATGAAATGCACAAGGTGCCAAAGAGCTGTGAATCCCTCCTAGTGTGAGGCAGAATAGGCAATGTTTGATTTGTAGCACCCCTCCCCTCCTTCCAGCAAACATTGACTCTGACTTCTGCTTCCCACCCTTTCCTGTAATAATATTATACAGTCCACTGTTTGTGCTTTATGAGGTACCAGAATTTTAAAATGACCATTTATTTTAAAGAGAGAGTTTTGGGTATTCCATTACGAGTTCTCCTGAAACCTAATGATTGCTTTCTTTGTCTTCCAGTTGGAATGATTGGCTTTGGTACAGGTTTGGGAAAAGAAAGGGAAATGTGTTACATTTATTTAAAAAATATTATTCCTCCATAATTTGAATTTTTACAACGAGAATCTGAATAGTTTATTTATTATATTCGTGGCTGAATTTAAATTAGTAGTGTCTGATTGAAAAAACAGTTCAGTGTTAATATGTAGTGAGTGTTTATAAGCAAATGCAGAATTCCCATAGCTGATTTCTTCTTGTTTTTGCATTCTCATTTTATGTAGTCATTGTACTTAGTATGGTAAGACGTAAGAATACTGCCATACACATATATATTTAACATTCAGTGTATTCCTTCTATTACCACTAACTCTCTTGCTTTTTAGTCTTCCTGTTAGTCCCCGTTGTTCCCCTAGAGAGTTTTACTCCTTTAAGTAGCAGGTTCTTTTCCCCATGTGACAGCAGTTCTATTATCATTTACACATATTTGTTAAAATCTTGAATGTAAATTTTAGAACCCTCAGAATTTGATGCTAGTATCTAGGTAAAAGTGCTTATATGATCATTCACGATACATCTTATTTGTGTGTACATGGATGGCTTGTTTTTAGACAATATCACACAAAGCCCAGGCTCTCTTGTAGCTCAGGGTATTCTCAAACTGACTGTCTATGTAACCAGAGATGAATTTAAACTTCTGGCCCTCCTGCATCCATCTCCCAAGTGCTGGAATTACAGGCCTGTGACTCCACACCCAGTTTATGAGTGTTGATCTAACTCTGAGCTTTGCTCATGTTAAGACTAACTCTACCAGCTGAGAGCTATATCCTCACCCTCCAAATTAATCATTTCAAACCTGTGCAGCTTCATAACTTGACTCTTTTGCTATCTTTTTCCCTTTTAGGTTTTTTCTGAGACTGACACTCCAACCAAGGACTATTCATGGAGATAACCTAGAACCCCTGCACAGATGTAGCCCATGGCAGCCTCGTCTCTACGTGGGTTCCCTAGTAATGGGAACAGGGGCTTTCTCTGACATGAACTCAGTGGCTGGCTCTTTGATCTTCTCCCCCTGAATAGGGGCCAGCCTTACCAGGCCATAGAGGAAGACAATGCAGCCAGTCCTGATGATACCTGATAGACTGGAGTCAGAGGGAAAGGGAGGAGGACCTCCTCTATCAGTGGACTGGGGGAGTGGCATGGCAGGAGAAAAGGGAGTAGGGGTGGGATTAGGAGGAGATGAGGGAGAGGGCTACAGCTGGGATACAAAGTGAAAAAATTGTAACAATAAAATTTTTTAAAAGTTTAATATACTTATAAATTCTTGATTCTGTAATAAACTCAAAATGATGAGCACCTCCCAACCAAAGAAAAAGTCAAATAGAAACCTGAGAAAAACAGATATATTTGGAGAAGATAATTCACTTTGGTTTTTGTTGTTGTTGTTATTTTGGGGTTTTTGTTTTGTTTTGTTTGTTTGGTTTTGCTCCCTAGTCACCAATGTCTTGCTTTCAAAACAAGGTGATGTTAAACTGGCTGACTTAGGAGTTGCTGGCCAGCTGACAGATACACAAACTAAAAGAAACACCTTTGTAGGAGCTCCGTTTTGGATGGCTCCTGAAGTTATTAAATAGTTAGCTTATGACTCTAAAGTAAAGTATTCCCTATATTGATGGAATTAATTGGATATAGCCTCATCAATAAACCTTTTACTTTTTTTTTCTTTACAAGTGCTCCTAAAATAGAAGAATAATGCCATATTTTATTAATGATAAATCCCATTAGTGTTGGTAACATTTGAACCCTATTTATTTCAATGGCTTTTCATCCCTCTTGGAATCAAATCTAGAGTCCTTACAGTGACACATAAAGATCCATATGATCCAGCCATTGTCTTTCTATCTACACACCCTTATCTTCTACCACTCTCATCTCTACTCTCTTTGCTTCAGCCATCATGGATGGCCTCATTGTCCCTCAAACACAAGTATGTTTTGACCTTAGGACTTTGCTCTTGATTTCCCCTGTGTCTAGACTAGCCTTGCTCTCAGTGAATTATCTGGAAAAGCATCCCCTGCACACACATGTCTCTCCCAGCTATTCTGCATGAACAGATAGCTCCTTCAGCTCCTTTGGTCATTATTCTCTTATTCTGCTTTTTTTGTTTTCCCATATGATATTTTGTCACTCATTTTTCTATCCTTTCATCTGGTTTACCACTCAAGTAGTGGTGTGCCTGTTATAAAGTATGAGATTTCAATTTTTAATTCATGAGTTCCATCAATCAAAATTATTATAATTCACCACATTTCTTGAGCTACATTAATACAGGGTTTGGGGATCATCATCCTAGAATGGAGTTTCAATGTGATGAACAGATTTTGTTTTTATCTCCTTTTTAGGCTGACATTTGGTATTTGTGAATTACTGCTATTGAAATCGCCAAAGGAGAGCCTCCAAATTTTGACAAGCATCCAATGAGAGTTCTGTTTCTTATTCCAAAAAACAACCCCCAACTCCTGTTGGGGATTTTACTAAGTCTTTCAAGGGTTTTTTTGATATTTGCCTGAATAATGATCCATCATTTGTGAGTATAAATTGTTATTACTACTATTGGTTTTCTATTTTTCTAACTACTTCTAATAAAGGTGCCTTTTCCTTGGTGGAGACTATAGTTCATCTGAAAAATATCTGCAATCCATCTAAGAAGCTGTTTCTTCTTTTTTCTGTATTGTTAATTCCACTCTATTCTTAGTCAGATCTTTGATCTTTTTTTTTCCTCCTCTACATTATCTTTTTACGTTCCCAACTACTTGATCATTTGCTATTTCACGGAGAAAACTTGGGACAATAATTCATTTTTATTACTTACTTATGAAAGTACACGTGTACCTATTAGTAATGGAATTGACTTATTATATTACAGTTGCTTTTCACTACTGTTGACTAGAAATGCATGAGCTCTGTCATAAGATTGATATAACTATTTTTATGTCAACAGTAAACTATTAATGAAATACTGTAAGGAACATACTTTCGACAGCACTTGATGTTTGCACTCATATGCAATAAGAATTAATGTTTGACAGAAAAATATATGCTAATATGTGGGCAGATAATGACAAAATTAGAGATTTATAGGATGTGCAGATGATAGCAAAATCACAGGAATTTTGATCATTTACATGAATTTTTAAAAATTACAGTCAATGTAATAAAAGTGTCTACAATTGTTGTTTTGACAGTTTTAGATGTTTATTTTCTAAGTCCTACTTTTTCTGAGAAGGCTTTGCCTACTGTTATGCTTAGCTTAAGCATATGTATGTAGCCTAGCTTCTGTCTACTGTGTTCTAACAAATTAGGGTTCTAAACTGTGGCTACCTTGAGCCACTTTATAGAAAATATTGAATTGTCTGTTTTTCTCTTTCATTTTATTTGTTCTCATGTGTATAGACATGATTTTTGTAGATATGAGTTTAATAATTCAAGTGGCGTTTTACCACTTATCTTAATCCCAAAGATCCTCAAAAGTGCACCCTACATTTTTTCTATGTTTGTACCTTAGTGTCCTATAGCTAAAGAACTTTTGAAATACAAGTTCATTGTAAAACAAAATTCAAAAGAGACTTCTTATCTGACTGAACTGATCGATTGATTTAAGAGATGGAAGGCAAAAGAACACAGTGATGATGAATCTGATTCTGAAGGCTCTGATTCATATGTACACATCACTGCAGTTTTTTTCCCCTAGGCAGTCCATTTTCGTATACTCTGCCTTTTAACAATAACGTAGTATGCTTGCTTTAGACTAAGCTGTAAGCCACTCTTTCAGGGCTCATTTTGCCACTGTGAAGTTCGCTTATAGTCTGTGGAGCACAATGGATTTGGAAACAGACTTTGGAAGAGGAAAGCTCTGATACACACACACACACATATTTCAATATATTCACTTTGTATCCTGGCTATAGACCTCTCCATCTCCTCCCAGACCCACTGTCCCTCCCTTTTCTTTCCCTATGCCCCTTCCCTAGTCCACTGATAGGGGAGGACCTTCTCCGTTTTTATCTGACCCTAGCCTATCAACTTGCATCAGGGCTGGCTGCATCATCTTCCTATGTGGCCTGGCAAGGCTGCAGCCCCCAGGCGGAGGTGATCAAAGATCCAGCCACTGAGTTCATGTCAGAGAGAGCCCCTATCCCCCTTTCTAGGGAACCCACTTGGGAAACTGAGTAGGGGGTTTAGGTGATTTCCATGCATGGTGCTTTGTTGGAGTATCAGTCTCTGCAGGAACCCCTGGGCCCAGGATTTTTGGCTCTGTTGGTCTCCTTGTGCAGTTCCTGTCCCCTCCAAGTCATTCTATCTCCTTCTTCTTCCATAAGGTTTCCTGCACTCTGCCCAAATTTTGGCTGAGTCTCTTTCCATACCCTGATGGGTAAAGTCTTTCAGAGGCCCCCTGTGGAAGGCTTCTGTTCTGTCTTCTCCCACTTCTGACATCTATCCTGTTTGCCCTTCTGAGTGATTTTTGGTCTTGGTCTAACCCCTAGTGGATACTTGAGTATATTACAAAAATTTGGAATACGATTTGATCAGTAGTGTTCTAGTAGTCCACAAGAAGCAATAAGGAGCTCTGTTTTCTCATATTGTGATGCAACCTGCAAGACCCTTTGGAGAACTGATCTCATGATTTTTCCTACTTCCTGGCCATAGCCCAAACTATGATCAGACTGAACCTTGAATTGCTAAACCTATTTCTTTACCCTGTGGAACAGTTTGCCTTTAAAAGAAATGGCAGTATTTATGTTACTACTTCTGTTTCTGTGTGCTTATCTTAATTTCAGTAGGAGATTCCAAGGGTTGAACCGGGATGTAGACCTCTACAAAGGCAGCAGTCTATTTTTTCACACAATAGTCTTAGGCACCTGCATATATGAGAAATTGCTCAAATCTTGAATAAAATATATCACAATACTTTGTGCACAGTCTATGGCTTGTTAATCTTAACTGCCCATGAAAAGTTCTTGATGGAATTTTAAAACACACAAGGCACACTACTATAGATGGTGCTTCAGGCAAGGGGAAATGGCAGTATTGACATATATGGCTATCCACATAGGATTTTGCTGAACACTTAGAGCTGAGAAATGCTTCTGTTCTTGAAGAAAATAGCATATTCACTAGAACTGAGACCAGATACTCTGTTGTACAGTGAATTTGTAACCACTGGCACAGTGAGTTCTTCAGAGTCTTCTTGTACTGATTTGGTATTTTTGCCTTTCTGAGTCATTTCGCATCTTTGGCATTTCTTTAGGGAATCCACCAGCAGGGATGGTAATACTCACCTTGAATGGAGTTTCACCACTGTGTGAAGGAAGCCTGATCCAAAGAAACTAAAGAATGGGGAAGTATGTATATGGAGCTAATAACTTTATTTATTTATTTATTTATTTATTTATTTATTTATTTATTTATTTTACAAAGTAATAGTTTTCATCATATCATCTTCATATACATGTCATTATAATATATTCTTTTTTTTCTTATCTGATCATGGCTTCCTGATAGCCTTTTCAAAACTAGTGTGATGCTATTATAACATGCAAAACTATGAGAATTTCCCTGCCCACCTGTCTGCCTCACTGTATGTATAGTGTGTATTATTTATTACTAATTGTGACATCATTAAGCCATAAAAGTAATTTAAATGACCACTATTATTTTTAAAATTCCCTCCCTTTAGAAGTATGTAAAGCCAGGGAATCATATCTATTGCAATCCTAGCCATTTCGAGACTTCCACTGATAGATGAGAATTTGTGACAGGAAGAAAACATAGGCACTGGCCTTATCTTCAGTCTTTTAAAGGGGAAATTCAAATTGATTCACATTTGTTATCAAATAACTAAGGAAAGCAATGAATGATTATTTTAATTTTGTGTGTCTAATCTGCATTATTTCTTCAAAGGAGTAAGATCTTGTGCAAACCTTGAGCTGTTTGTCTATGATAATCACACCTGCATTTGCTGAATTAAGTGTGGATTATTTAGTATCCACTATCTTTCTCAAATGGCAGGGTATTTTAAATGTTATAGCCATCACTCTTTTTCAGCTTAAATAGTAGGATAAGAATAATGCAAGCCGAAACCAGACAATTGAAGAAGAACCCGAGAAAAGTATTGCTGTAGTTGAAGCTGCCTCTCCTGGCATCACAGATAAAATGGTGAAGAAATTAATTGAAAATTTTCAAAAATAAGTTTGAACTTCCATTTTAAAAATTATATTGACATTTTGGATATTGATTTATAATGTAACATAGTTACTTTGATGTAGTCATTTACTATCATTTTCCTGCAATTTCACTTTTTGGTAGTTGTATGCTTGAAAAAGGATTTTTTTTATCTTGCTCATCTAAAACATCACCTTTGAGAGAGAGAGGTAGAGAAACAGATAAAGTGTGTGTGTGTGTGTGTGTGTGTGTGTGTGTGTGTGTGTGTGTGTG